TGCCAGGATAACAGAAATATCACAAGTGGATGGCTTTAACAAACAGAAATTTATTCTCTCACAGTCTAGGAGGCTAGAAGTCTGAATTCAGGGTGCCCACTCCAAGGTAGTGGCTTTGGGGGGGGGTGGTCTCTGGGTCTAGGAGTTTCTCAGCACAGGGACCTCTGGTCCAAAGGACACGCTCTGCTCCCGACTCTTCTTTCTTGATGGTAGGAAATCCCACTCCTCTCTGCTCGATTCTCTCTTTTATATCTCAAAAGAGATTGACTAAAGATACAACCTAATCCTGTAGATTAAGTCCTGCCTCATCAACATAACTGCCTCTAATGCTACCTCATTAACATCATAGAGGTTAGGATTTACAACACATCTGATAATCACATCAGATCACAAAATGGAGGACAACCACACAGTACTAGGAATCATAGCCTAGCAAAGTTGACACATATTTTGGGGGGACACAATTCAATCCATGACACCTCACAACTGGACCAATAAGCAACATCATGATAAATGGAGAAAAGACTGAAGTTGTCAAGGATTTCATTTTACTTGGATCCACAATCAATGCCCATGGAAGCAGCAGTTAAGAAATCAAATGACATACTGCATTGGGCAAACCTGCTGCAAAAGACTTCTTTAAAGTGTTAAAAAGCAAAAACGTCACCTTGAGGACTAAGGTGCACCTGTCCCAAGCCATGGTATTTTCAATCACCTCATATGCATGCGAAACCTGCACAATGAATAAGGAAAACTGAAAAAGAATTGATGCCTTTGAATTATGGTGTTGGTAAAGAATACTGAATATATCACAGACTGCCAGAAGAACGAACATATCTGTCTTGGAAGAAGTATGGCCAGAATACTCCTTAGAAGGGAAGACGGTGAGACTTTGTCTTATGTACTCTGGACATGTTACAAAGAGGGACCAGTCCCTGGAAAAGGACATCATGCTTGTTAAAATAGAGAGTAAGCAAAAAGAGGAAGACCCTCAAAGAGATGGATTGATACAGTGGCTACAACAATGGGCTCAAACATAGCAATGATGGCCAGGACTGGTCAGTGCTTCATTCCGTTGTACACAGGGTAGCTATGAGTCGGAACCCACTCAACGGCACCCAACAACAACATAACAACAGTTTCATGTATATAGATAAAGATCTTACTTTCCCAATTCAATTCTAAATTCCTTAGGGGTAGGTACAGACTTGGCATAGGACTTGGTGATATTTCTTTCTGTTATATATATAAGGTTGCCAAAAGTTGAAGCCAACTCAATGGCATCTAACAACAACAGGGACTGACCGGCACTTACCACCCACGTGCCATGCAATTACCAAATGGCCACCTCATTCACCTATTCAGACTTCTCTTGGGCTCCCTACAACAATGACCTCTGCCTTTGTTTACTGGTAACCAGCTCTCAGTACCATCAGAAGTCTCCTTTGGCCACATATTCATTTGTACACTCATGCACTCAGTAAATATTTTCTGAGTGCCAGCACTGAGACAGGCACTGTGCTAAGTGCTGGGTATCCAAAGACAAAGAGGACATAATCCTTGCTCCTGCAATCCTGCGGAACAGTCTATACAAAGAGGCCAAATGCTACATGAAAAGAGCATAAACCTGGTAATCAGGAGGCCTGGGCTCCACTCTCTGCCCCTTGCTAGCTATGTCAATTTGGGTAAACTACTCCCTTTCTCTGAGCCTCAGTCTTCAAATATGTAAAACATGATCGATGGCCTAAAGGAACTCTTCCATTTCTAGCTAAGAATGGATTTATAACCTGTAGAGTATATGTAGGTGAGAAGGGCAAGTTAGCAAAATAGAATTAATATTTATTGAATAATCTTAACAGGTAGGTGGGTGATTTCATTTTATAGTTGAAGAAACTAGAGTCAAGATGATTAAGTAACTTGCTTAGGGTCACACAGCTAAGAAGCAGCAGTTCATGTATTTATTCTACGAACATTTACCTCAAGCCTCCTATGTGTTGGGCAGTCAGCTAAGTACTAAGGACACAATATTGATGGGGACACAGCTCCTGCCGTTTATCTGTCTCCTCTATTCAACAAGTAGGCCAAATTTAGCAGAAAGGGTCCAAAGGAGTAAGAGCAGGGTGCTCTGAAAGCACAATGGTGTTATCTCTCACCAGCCTGAAGCAGGCAGGGCAGGCTCCACAATGTCTAATCCAGAAGAAAGACTAGGAATTACCATGGTAAACTGAGGGGGGCAGGGATGGGACCAGAGTTGGGAGAAAAATGAAGGTCAGCCCAAGTAGAGGAAAAGCATTCCGAAGTCAAGGACCAGACAGACTTTTAGAGCTCTAGATAGTTCAATATATTTAGAAGACATATATTTGGGGCCAGGTAAGAATAAAGCTAAGGAGCCCTGGTGGCACAACGGTTAAGTGCTCAGCTGCTAACCGAAAGGTTGGTGGTTCGAACTCATCCAGTAGCTCTATGGAGAAAGACTCAGTGATCTGCTCCTATGAAGACTGTTGTTGTTGTTGTTAGGTGCTGTTTAGTCAGTTCCGACTCACAGCGACCCTATGTACAACAGAATGAATATTGCTTGCTCCTGCACCATCCTCACAGTTCTTTCAGCTTGAGAAATGCTGAGCATGTTCTTCCCTTTTGATTTTCTAACTCCAGTGTGGGTACAATTATTGCTTTAGTACTCTTAGCCATAAAATATGGCTGCACTTATGCTAAGTGCAGCTCCCTACAGGCCTCTGTGTTATCTACGTCAGTATAAATGACTAAGGCCAGCCACGTCTTGTTTAATTGCCCTCTTTTTCTGAAACTGTCTTGTGATCTGTTTTATTGTTTGCCATATATATACCCAAATTCCTTTCCCCTTACCCAAAACTGATTGTTATCCACCTGAAAACTCACTGTCT